GATGGCTATGACGATCATGACTATGAAGCGAACATGCAACCAACATGGTTGCAAATTTGTACCTGTGATTACAGGGAGAAACAGCTGCTTTTGTCATCCTCCCTCTGCCAAATTTGTGGACGATTTCCTATCAGATGTCTGCAATGCAGACGGCTGAATTATGCAAGGGAATCTGTAGCTGTTGCAGTTTATGCTCTCCTACACTGGTGAAGAAACTGTAAGCTGCCTTGTGTCAAACCTTAGAGCTACTCTTTTACACAATGCGTAAGAAATCTTTGTGTGTTAAAGATTTCCACAGCAGAAGAGAATATATTTGTGTTCTTACATAGGTGATAAGAAGGCTGGGACTTGTGTGTATCCCTGCCCTGGCTGCAAGGATTATGTCTGCCCCACATGTACGCACTATTGCTTTTATATACACAGCTATATGTTCAAAGTTAACAACAAGGCATGCATTAAGGGCTGGCTATTCTGCTGTGTTGAGCGGTCGCTGCTTCTCTGGGAATAGGACTGGAGAAACCAAAGGTGTATCCCCAGGTGTTAAATGTTTAGAGAGCAAAGATGCATCTGAATTTTTTGAGATTTTTTTTTTTCTTTTCTTGAAGTTGTCTATAAATCTTCCATGAGTGTAGCCTGAACTGCCAATGACACACTTGCTGAAAGCAAGACATGCTTTGTGCTTCAAATTCGTTTTCTCATCAGGCTAATGGAAGTATTTTTGGTATGCAGTTATAGATGGATGTAGAGCAATGATACAATAAATAGCTGGTATGCATAACAGTACTCAAGCAGTCTGTCGATGGCAGAAACATAATGATTCTTTAAAATCTTTATTTGCAATTTAATTTATCTCTAGGGTTCTTCATGTCAGAGATTCCTTGTCCGCAACCGTCTGAATGTTGGCTTTTATCTCTTGCTTGTCATGTACGCTTCAGATCCTCAGACAACGTTGTCTTGAAACGAGAGGACGTGACCAAAAGCATGGTGTTTGTTTATATAGCCGTAATAACCTGAAAGAAGCAAACAGTGAATGACAGAGAGAATCAGAGATTTATGTTCTGGGGACAGCTCTAAGACAGCATATGCAGGAGCTTAGCTGGAACTGCTTGACTGGTTTTCTGCCTGTCTTCTGCAGGCAAAACTTGGTTTTAACAGTAGAAGTGTTTGCATTAGTTCACTTCTGAAGACGTTTGGAGCAACTGTGCTCTGTATTGTGAGTCTTTGCCATGTGCCAAACAGGCTTTAGCAAGGGCCTGTCTTGTACCAGATGTTCTAGCACAGATTTTTGTAAGCTTTGACTTCTTTTTCCTGTCTTGTAACACTCCTCCCTCTAACACTTACTCCATGTACTCTTTTCCATCGAGCCTTGGTCCTTGCAGCCTCGGGCTCCTTTTCTGCAAGAGGAAGAAAATGAGGTGTTGAGAGGTCAAAGGAGTTGTCCAGAACTGTTCAGCAGAGCCAGGCACTGAATCCCTACTGGTTTCTGCTGCCAGATGTATTGTAACTCTGACTTGCACCTCCACGGGAGCTACTTGTCTTCTGCAAGAAAAGACCGAGGCTGTAAGAGTCCTCTTGTGTAGACACCTACAAGTTCCTTGGGTGTTTCCAGCAGCTGTGAGCCAGAGAGGCTCAGAGGATGTCAGTGCTTGGAGTAGGCTGCAGGGCATCCTGGTGTTGACTATGACCTTTCTCTTCTCACCTGGGGTGGAATGAATCGCTTCCCTTACTTAGTCTTTTAATGTCAGTATACACTTGACATGACAGTGCATCTTCTAAGAGCACATCTATCACAGATGCCCACTACAGCTCTGTGGGCTTCCTTCCACTGTCCCAGCAGACCTTATGCAGCACATTGGAGCATCTGGGCTCAGGTCCTGTAGGGTTCTGGCTATTTTCCCATTCATTTTATGAACAGAAATAATCTAAAACTAGAGGAGCTTAGTGCAGAGGGATACAGCTGCTGCTGAACAACCTAATGTAGCAATCAAAGGAGAAGCAGTGACCTTGGAATTCATTTAAATGACTTTTTCATTGGCCTTGAGAATTTAATGGCAATCCTCACAGGATTATTGAAAGTTAGGATAAATAATCATAGGAGAGATTAATTGATTTGCAGTGCATAGGTCTGACTTCTAATTCATATCTCCCCTTTTCTGCAATGGTAGGTAGAAGCAGGCTGTAGCACGCAATGGCAAAATTCTCATAAAAATGGCCTGAGAAGCATCGTTTATCGTGGGAGAAGCTCTTAAGATTCGTTGTCCCTCTTTCAGATTCAGTTTAATATGCTGGCTTTTTTTCCAGGCTGGCATATCGTGCTGTCCTCTGTCAGGGGTAGAACAAGCATTGCATGATAAAGATTTGAGAACTTCAGTTTGCATTTAAGTGCCTTTAAAGACCTGATCCTGCTTCCCCTTTATTTTAAGCGTGAGTGAGTTAGCTTTGTGGCAGTCAGTAGTGCTGTGTCTGTGTGATGTTCATGAAAGAGCCTGAACAATGACATTTCATAGTCTGGATATCTTTCTCCAAAATATTACTTACATGAATTTCAGATGCTTTGGATTTTTTTTTATTTCCTGGGTAAAGTATGCCTAGCTGGTTTGTTTGGGGGGTGTGTGGGGGGGTGTGTTTGATTTTTTTTTTTTTTTAACTCTGCATAGGTTTGTGAAAGCCCAGGTTGTTTGATGCTTTTGGTTGGTCGGATCTACTATTAATGATTGTGGAACATAGTGTAGATTGTGTGGATACCATATCTAGAGCACAGTATGAAGCTTGCTATGGCTGGAGGACACGCTGTGTAAAGCATGTAGTTACCCCTGCAAAAAAGTATTTTTTTGTACAAATTTGAGCCAGCTAATTCAGAGAGGTTCCCAGATATCTGAGCTGGGACTCAAGACACCCCTTATTTAGACGTGAGGAAGAGCAGAAAATGAATAAAGTTCCCTGCTCCTAAAAGGAGAAATAAATCAACTTGGGCAGGTGTCAAGGGAACTGTCAGCCCCTTCCGCAAAGCCATATGCCTGCAAGTTTTCTGTGGGTGGCAAATAAATCATTTTGCCAGCCTCTTTCGTGCTATTAACCAAGACAAGCAGTGCTGAGACAGTAACTCTTCCTCAGCCTTTTCCAGCTTCTTCCTGAATTCACCTCTGAAGCTGTTGCATCCGGTTCCCAGCTTGGTGGCACGTGCTCCCGCCACCAGGTAAAACCAAAGCAAAACTTCCTCCTCCAGCTGAGATCCCCTCGTTCTGCTGCTCCTACCACATTAAAGCGTTGGGGTTTGCTCAAAAGAAGGATGTGGGGCTTCTTAAAGCTGTGGTCGCTATGCAAATGACTAAGCGGTATGGACCTTAGCTGGTGTTTGAGCTGGAGTTTGTTCTGGGATCAACCATTTGGGTATTTGCTGTAATTCTTAGGTGGGATTTGCAGTCTTTATTCAAATGTGTCCACCCTGTTCTAGAAACATGCCCTGAAAGCGTTTCATGGTGTGCTGCGGTGGTTGGAGCTCTGCTGAAGTCCCCGTGTGCTGTGGTGAAGTTACACCTGGACGTCGTATCGCTTCTTGGCTGCGAACACGCTTTGACTTGTGCTGTACAGAACCTGGTTGTCTGGTTGAGTTCAGGCCTAGGTTTGCGTCTGCCGGCTTCGGCGGTCATCTCGTTAGCGGGAATCAAAGCAGCGCTGTGGTTCAGAGCCCTGGGTTTCTTTTCTTTTACACAGCGGTGTTAAAAATAGCCCTGACCCTGTTGCCTGTACACCTCAGAAACAGCTTTTGCTGAAGCTGCATTGAAACAGATATCTAGCCATATTTTCTGATACCACTTTCAAAAGCTCAGCAAAGTCTGGGCGTCCAAGTGCCTGTTCCAACAGTAACAGCTGAAGAAAGAAAAGCCGGCTGCTGCTGCAAACACAAGGTGAAAGGGTGGCGAGGGATTGCGTTGAGATTACATTGCGCTGGGGCAGGCGAGTGCAGTGGGTCTGGGTCATGCAACGGGCCTTACTACAGCTCTCTGCGTCTCCAGTCTGCGCGCAGGAGCCGGCCCTCACCCTGCCTGCATGTCGATCTCGGCCACTTCGTCCCTTTGCCCTGTGGGGACTGTGGTTGCACTGGTCCCTGGGGGGGGCAATAGTGGCGGGCGGGGAGGCAAGGAAGGGGCTGTCCCCGAGGCCCAGCGTCGTGCAGGTGCTGAAGCGTAACTTCACGCCGTGGCAGGAGCCTCACCTGGTCCTGAAAGTTCAGCTTGCCTGGAAGCAATTGTACCGGCTGAAAGCAGTTTAATTTACACCCAAATAATTTGGTTTAAATCTGCTTTTCTCACTCATGCATTCATTTTACTTTATTGTAATGTCAGCACTTAGCAGTAAAGTAATGGCAGATCTCTGGAGAACTTCACACAAGCGAGAAAGCACCATTATCTCGGTTTTACAGGCCCTGCTTATGTTGAGAACATATGTGGTGGTGTAATTACACTGATGTGACTGAATCAGTGCAAATCCTTGCTAGAGGGACATGCTGCACCACTGTAAAGCGGGGCTTATTATCAGTGCAGTTTAATTCAAATTACATTACTCAATTAAGCTGTGCTAGTATAAGCCTGGGTTTAAAGTCGGGAAGTCACATGAGGACCTGTGTTGTTTTGTTTTTAAAGCAGATAAAGATTTGGAAACTGAAATGGGTGAGGTTTGCCTCGCCCAAGAACATGCTAGAAACGATGGGCTTGACAAGTACCGTGTTTATAGTACTTTCTGGGAGAGAAGAGGTGTGGATGTGAATTCAAGGGGTTTATTATTATTTTTTAATAGATTAAATTCTTTGTTTAAACCGTAGTGACCACTTTGGAAAAGATTCTAAATCATACTAAGGCTTTACAAATCAATTAAGTAAAATGCATACTAAATTCTAGTAAATCTCTACCACATGGTTTTGGATTTTGATAATGGCTAGATGGGTCAATGAATAACCATGGCGTGTACAACTTAATTGGATTTTTTTTTTTTTTTGGCAGGGTGCGGGCACTGTAAGAAAATGAAGCCAGAATATGAGAAGGCTGCAGAGTTTCTCCATGTAGCCAGTGATGTAAGCTAATTTCCTTTATTATATCCTTCAAATAATCAGTAATAAATAACTGGAGTAATAAAAGTGACTTTTCTCCCTACAACAAATTCAGCTGTTCTCATCCTCCCACAGGACCCTTCAAAATGTGCTTCCAAAGTACAGTCTCATCGCTAATGCATGAGCCCTGCCAAAGTCTTAGAAAGAACATTCTGTCTTGAACGAAAACAAACTCGAAAAATGTTTATGTATTCTGCTGTAGGCCTTATACATAATATGATCAAATCCAAAATGGATTTTTTTTCTCCCATACTTAAAAGCATCGAATATGAAGAAACATAGGCTTTTATTTATGAATTAGATTTGGAAAAAAACAAAAAGGGGTTGATCCCTCTTTCAAATACCCTGGTTTTATGGTTGCATCACTCCATTAGTGATGGAGTGATGCAACCATAAAAGCGCTCCATCAGCATGGCTGGAGAAGAGAGATCCAGCAATAGAAGTATTAGTGTTATTGATTCAGTCTCACACTGTACACCATGCGAGAAGAGAAGTAGGAGTAGTGTCCCCCATACTTTAAGCATCTTCAGTGGAGACATCTAGAGTCCCTTTGTTGGAGAAGAAGGAGGAGATGAGAAAAACAAAGATCAGATGAATCACATCCTACAAGCGTCTGTATTTCTGTGACTCTAAAGGTGGTCCATGTATAGATGTCCGCTAATTAGGGAAAGATGAATTTGCCTTGAAGTAAACTTGTCTTTAACAGTAGTCATTTGTTCTGGGAGAAATTGGATTTGTGGGAGGAAATGCCATTCCTGGGAACAGCTCTTAAACATTATAAAGTGAATTATGTACAGGGAATCCTGTCAGAAATGGGAGAACAGGTAACGCTCTGGTTACATGTAGTCCATAAGATGTCCCTTCCTGATTTTGCATCAGTCCTCTGTGTCTTTCTGTGTGTGTCTGTGTGCTGAGTACGTGAGAAAGCGAAGGCACCTAGATCATGAGTGATTGCCCCCGAGCCCACTGCTTCCTGCCAAAGGGGTGTGTGTATGTTGCTGAGCTTTACAGTTAGTGGTCTCTGTTTTAGAGTCCAGGTGTCCTTGCAGCAGTTGATGCTACCGTCAACAAAGCGCTGGCAGAAAGATATCACATCTCGGGGTTTCCTACTTTGAAGTATTTTAAGGATGGAGAGGAGAAGTACACTCTGCCACACCTCAGAACAAAGAAGAAGATCATCGACTGGCTGCAAAAGTAAGTTTTGAGGGTTCGAGATAGTATTCAGGTTCCTGGTTACTGGCTGCTGAAGACTGCTCTGGTGAGGAAGTAAATCTTAAACCTAGCTTCATTGACTGCCTAAATCCCTTGCTAACAAAACCAAATTGAATTCCAGTATTCAGAGCCATACAAACATGTATGTTAATTATGGTCTCTAATACACCAAATCCTTTATTTGCTGCAGGGTTTTTCATAGTTGTCCCAGTAATTCTTTCCCAAAATAAATATTTTTCAAATATACCGTAAGCCTCTCAGCAGACAAGGAATAGCAATGGCTCTGAAAAATAAACAGAACATTTGTTGTTCCCTCCTTACACTAAGCAGATTTTATTGTTAGTAACTGAATTTCTGCAGTTGTACTTCTCTGTTTCCAGCATTTCAGAGCCAATGCCTGGAACACCAGCTACATGGGGCTGAAGGAAAGCCAGGGAGACCAACAAAAAAAGCACCTCTGACTGGACTTCCCAACTTTTCTTGGGTGGTGTGCTACAATATGCAGAATTAGGTTTGATGTATGATGAAAATAATTTCATTTCAAAGAAATAAATTGCTGGTACAATTCTCTCTTAAGTATTCTGGAATAAAATATGCATTTCCTTTAGGTACTGTAAACCTAATGTATTTTCTGCATTATTCAATGGGAAAAAACTGCCAGTGTTTTGTGAAGTTTTTAAATCATTTAACTGTTAAGTACAGTTGGCATGAGGAATGTAACCTTAATTTTTCCCCTCTTATTTGGGAGAGAGGACGAGGGTTGTGTAGGGGTTTTTTGGTTGGGGTTTTGGGTTTTTTGTTTTGGTTTGGGGTTTTTTTGGTTCTTTTTTTCATTTTAAATTACATCTCTGAGTACTTCACATCAGGTAATAGATAGGGCCTGGCAGGTCTTTGTAGCATGTTGGGAAGTTTTATCTACATTGTACATTTAGACACAGTACTTCCTTGACCTCCCTGCATACTCAGGCTCCAGGCTGCAGGCTGCAGTGTCAATACTGGATGTTAAGTCACTGTCCTAGTTTCACCAGTTTGCTTGAATACTTTGAACGCTATGTAATTTGTATTGAGTTTAACACTCAGGTTGATGCTGTCTGTACCTATTGGCGGATGAATAAGCAATGAGGAGGAGAGAAGGAGTGTTAATCTCTTCCGGATCCCGTTGTGCCTCTGGAAGACTTTTGTCTGCAGCCTCAGGTGGTCAGCAACACAGGGGAAACCAAGGCTGCTCTCCTGCTCTGACTGCTAGATGCTCTCCCAACTAGAGATGTAATAGAGCAAGATCCTTGTTTGCTGACCTGGGCTAAAATTGTCACAGCTGCACTGAAGCTGGTGGAAATAAGGGTGTATCTAGGCTGCAGGCTGGAGATAAATGCACAGCTTGTGTAAACCTGTCCCAGTGAGGGGTCAAGTTGCAGCCACGTGGGTTTTGGCTCCATCCCTCTGTGCTGACTGTAGTCTGTGCTGCCACAATAGGTTGTTACCAGTGTCTGGGTAGCTTATTTCAGGTCAGCATGAGGAGGTCTGTGTGAGATGAAGTCACACCTCTGACTGTAACTGTTATCGATGATAGCTCACACCAACTGTGCTTGTGTGAAAATTCAGACCAGCTGCCCTAATTCTTTCACTAACAACTGGCAAATCAGTATCGATGGAAATATGATGGATGTCCACCAAGTGACCTTGAGTAGAACTTTAAAAATCGAGTTTTTCTCCACTTGATTTTTATGTACCTGATACAACTTAAAATGGTGTCATTCGAAGTGACAGGAAAGTCTGAAAAGCTAATTTATTACCGAGGCGACATATGAAGGTCTTTATACCGTGGCACCATTCTGATGATTTTATATAAGTAATCACTATTTAAGATACAGCAGGAAATAATGAGTCTGAGAGAAGTCTGTGAGCTGGTGAATAGCAGAAGTTTTGTTAGAGGCGCTGTAGATGTGCGGGATTGCTCTGATCTAGTCAGTATGTGCAGTCGTAATTGAAACCTGACATTCTCTTTATCAAGGTAAAATATTCCAGTTCAGTCACCCCCAGTCTTCCAAGTGGAACGATGCTGATTATTGCATCCTGGCTTTAATATCTGAATTCAAGAGAAGGTCATGAAATTCTTTATGGAAGTTTGCATGGTAGTGATAAAGAGTACAAAAAGGATGTTTGAATGGAAGATGCTGTTCTATATTGGTTGCCTTTTGATTCCACTTGCTTGCTCTTCTTCTCAATTCATGCCTATGGATGACACAGTGATACAAGAGCAATGTTTTTTCCGCCTAGATGTTGGATGCAATGCAGGAGATCTGTATTCTGCATTCCTACTCATATACCTGAGTATTATCACTTAAATTATATTGAGTTCCAGAAATCAACTTGCATCTTTCTTTGGAAATGTTGAGCATGTTTTTCTGTTGCACAGACACCCCGATGGATTGTTCGACCTCAGTTCCCTCATGGTAGTTATGACCAGGACATGATGCCCTTTTGCCTGCTTCCAGAAACATTTTCAAACCAGTCTCATTTCCTTTCTTTTCTAGTCCTGAAGCACCACCACCACCTGAGCCTGCATGGGAAGAAAAACAGACTAGTGTTATCCACCTTGCTGGAGAAGACTTCAGGGAGTCCTTGAAGAAGAAGAAGCACACTCTTGTCATGTTCTATGCACCATGTGAGTAAATACCTCTCTATGTGCATGGGTTTTATAAACCCTACAGTTTATGTCCCCAGACTTTTAAGGGTAAAGAGCTGATTCTGAGTAGAACTGTGTGGGACCATCATTGGCACCATCATTTATATCTTTATAAATGGAAACAAATCAGTATACGGTGTGTATTTAAAGAGTTATTGTGTTAATGCAGACACCAAAGCAGGCAGGGGTACAAAACCAAAACAGATTTATTTTCCTCTGCTGCATTTTATGGTCCGTATAACAAAATGTGATCCTTTATAGTAGCACAATGGACATGGAGAGCCTGACTCATTAGTGCAGCATTTCAGTAGTGAAATCGATATAGTGGTGTAGGAGGAATCAGTCCCCAGAGGCTGAGAACAAATTTTGATGGAATAAATTTTGTCTGTAATAAATCTACATTTAAATCTCCACTGAGAATATGGGCATAGCTTCCTCTTTCCAGATTTTTTTGTGTGCATCACACGCACACTTTCTTTTTGAAGCTCCTGAGAATGTTGCTAGAGAAGTTTTGAATCAGGTCCGTTATAAATTAGGTGAATGGGAGGGACCTCTTCTGTTTTCCTGTGTTGTCCCAGAGACAGGCAGACTTGGTACAGGTTCTTAACTTTTGAGGGGTCTGTGAAAGGGAGAAGATAATCCTGGCACTTAATATTAGGTAGTATTAACTCCCTTTTATAGCGCCATGACTCAGCCCCCCCCCCAGATGCAAGAAAAATTCTTCCCTGTCACATGGCCAGCCCTGCAATTAATGGATAACCTTCAGATAAGCAGTTACTAGCTTGTTCCCATTAACCTGAAGGGGTTCCCATTAACCAGAAAGGGAGAAAAAGCTCCAGTCCTTAATGTTTAATCAGGCGACCCCTTATTTTGCTTTTCTGTTAGAGAATTAAACATGAATGCTTTTGGGCTCCCATGAAGCCCTGCTGGATGTGGGATGTAGGAGAAGGGAGGGGTGCAATTCAGAAGGGAGATTTCTGGAAGGTTGTAAAAGAAAAGGGAAGGGGACTTAATCCCTTCTCAACTCCAGTTCCCACCACCTATTGACTAAAAATTGCCCATGTGCCAGGAATTTCTGATTCATGGACCTCAACTGGTTAAGAGCAAGCTGTAACTTTAAAATCAAATGATTGCACGTGAAATGGTAAGATTTAGGAGTTCGTTGTCTCTTGAGTTCTCTTTACCTGATGAGTGACTTTCTGTGGAAGAGAGAGATTTATTTCCCTTTTGGTTTTTAGCTGCATCTTTTAAGGCGCTTAAATTCTTGATCTTTTTTTAAGGCCCTGTTTAAAGCAAAGATACTACGTGCAATGAGTATGTAGCTCTCAGGGTTGAAAGCATGAGGCAACTTGCCTGATGGGCTAATTATGATACTGCTGTTTGCAGGTTGACTTCTACCCTTACACCAAGAGGGGTGAATAAAGATCAGCCTGGCCCTGTCTGTACGAACGGGCTGTAAAAGCAAGACTTGCATGATGTAAGACTGTTGGGTCCCTTGAGGCTGCCCTTCAGACGTGTTCTTCTTGCACTGTTTTGGATACAGTGCTGCATGAAACCACCTATATACAGGACAGAGAGGTGTTAACTGGAACCACTTCTGGCCTTCCCGTGACTCCTAAGACAGTCAGCGTTGCTGTTGTGTTGTCAGTATGTGGGTCATGCAGAGTTTCGGATTTGTCGGGTTTGTTCTCTGTAAATGTGGAAGTGTCTGCGTGCAAAGCAGAAAGCAGGCGCACAAAGGGAGTGCAGCGAGCCTACCCTTTGTTGGGTGCAGGGGAAAGTAGCAGATGAGTACCTTAAATCTCTGGTTTCTGTGAAATAATCATTAATGCAGTAGAACGGTACAAATCATTCTATTTCTCTGCCTTTCTGCAGTAATAATGTGCTTTGTGCTAAATTTGATAGATTAGCTTTTGTTTACCATTTTCTCAGTCTTGAGACCTCTTGGAGCTTACTTTGCCAATTAGTCTTAACTCGCTTATTTTAGTGCAGAAGAAACACTGCTAAAATTGCCGGGCCCCATTACCTCAAGTAATTTTCTTTTTCTATTCAGATCCACATCTTAGGTCAGTGCAGACTCACAGTATGTTACTCCATTCACTTGTGACTCTATGACAGTATTTGTTACACTTACACATATGCTGAGATATTTTAAGATTGGGGGTGTGTGTATACATGCATATATAAAGTATGTTTATATATAAATATTTATGCTAAGAAATGTATCTCTCATCTGCCATTAGAATTTAAAGCAGAAAGTTGAATGTTCTGACCTTTGTAAAGCTTTCAGCTAGAGTGACAAACCTTTAGGCAAAGGCCACAGATATATATCTTACATGCAAATTAAAATGAGGTCTGGCTTTTCTGTGGCAGCTTCCAGTTGAAATTACTTAATTTGTATAGGAGAACCATCAATCTGCTGCTGTGCCGATAACTCTGGACTGAGCTGAGCGGTGCTTTAATGGTTCTGAACAGTGCTTCACAGTGATTTAGCTCCGGAAGAGAAGACTGCTACATCCACGTGGAAAAGATGGGGAACTCATTACTCCATCACCTTGAATGTGGGTGAAGCGTAAAGGTTATTCCTAGTGCCTGTGGAATATTTTAAGGACTGAGAATCAGAATCAAAACTCTTGAAATTACTGGGAAGAAAATTCACTCCTGTGGACTTGACACCCACAGAGAGTGATGCTCTTGATTTCACATTCCCATTTCTCCCCGGTGGCATCCCTGTGCACTGTAATGACTGATTTGGGGGAGGAGGCAGCTGTAGGGGCAGGTCCCCAGTACTGACTTGGGGCAAAAATGCCAGCTGCAGAAAAGCTAATGCTCCTTCTGCCAATAACTGCCTTGGACCCGGTCTTCATCTGGGTGTCCATCGGGTAGGTCTGTACCCTCTCTGGCCACCACGCCACACAGGCTTTTTGGGGTGGGGGCCATCTCAGGGCTAGCGTTTGCTGGTGTCTGTGCTGCACAGCACCTGGCCTGGCTCTTCTCTGGACCCTTGTGAGGCTCTTGTGGCCCTAAGATGTAATTGTCATCCCACTCCCTTATCTGAGTTCAAAATGCCTAAAGCAAGAGGAGGAGGATGCAGTCTGCTGAAGTGAAGCATGATGCCACAGGTGTGTCTTGTGTCGTGGGGACTCCCATGAGGGGTTTGAGACACATTTGAAAGCAGTAGGCCTATTGCAGTGGCATTTGAGAGGTGTTTTGGCAGGGTGTATTGGATCTGTATCTATATTATATCCATAGACCAGTCCTTGGAGTACTGGATATCATCAACTACGCTGGGTTTCCTTTTGTAATTGCTTGGCTTTGTCTAGAGATGGGAAGAGGAGACAACTAGTCTGAGTATGGTTTGGTGTACACACATAGCTTGGTATGTGAATGATCAGGATTTGAGGGGCTGTGGACCAAATCAGGAAGTGAGCCAAATGGACAAGAGTAGATCCAGCCTAGCCCAGTTAGACTGCAGCCCTCAACCAGCTATGACCAGAAGTACACTAGCTGCATGTTTGTGGTCTGCATCCAGAGCTTGTTTCAAGACTCACAGCATGAAATGCCTGCATCCTGGACTAACCAGTTTGCATCAGTGCCTCTTCTGGGATCAACGCACTGACTTTTCTGTCTTCTTTTCCTTACATCCTGACTATTTGTTCGTAAAGCTTATCTGCCTGTGTTTTATCTGCATTTTTACTTTTATGTGCTCTCTCCACTCCATTATCCCAGATAATTGAGATTTGACTTTGCCAATGCATTAAATTTTAACCTCCTCCTACTATATCACTGAAGACTCTGCAAAATAGCAGCAGTTAGTTGTGATTAGTTGTCAGAATCACAAAGGGCAACAAAGTTCCAGTAAATAACATGTCTTCTCAATTGGAGATGTTTTTGCTGCATTATTCAAACTGAATTAAGGGAAAAAATAAGTGATTGAAGTTAGGTGAGCATTTTTCAGTTCAATAGGGAGATGCCGATGGTTCTTCAGGAGTGTACTGTGGTTTTAACCCAAACTTCTGTCTAGAGAAGCCCTTGGAGCCATGGAATTTCTTGTCAAGCCAATGCAAAGACCCAAACAAAATTAACGGCCATCACATTCTCTCACTAAAACTCACATTGTTGCCTCTTCTGCCTTGTTCATCCCTGGAATTTAATATGCTTTTTTGATGTTATAATTTGGTGATGTGACTGTGAAGTTTTAGCTATTCCTCAAACTTATTCTAGGTGTTTTCTGCTCTTGTGGAAACAGTTCAGAGCTGGGGACACAGACTCCATAGATGGGCATCCTCGATTGCATTAGGCAGAGCATCACCAGCAGGTCCGGGGAGCTGATCCTTCCCCTCTACTCGGTGCTGGTGAGACACAGTTGGATTGCTGTGTCCAGTTCTGGGCTCCCCAGTACAGAAAGGACATTGACGTACTGGAGTGAAGGGCCATGATGGTGATGAAGGGTCTGGGTCATCTGAAATCTGAGGAGAGGCTGTGAGAGCTGGGAGTGTTCAGCCTGGGGAAGAGGAGGCTCAGAAGGATCTTACCAGTATGCAGAAGTGCCTAATGTGGGGGGTAAAGAAGACAGAGCCAGACTCTTCTCTGCAGTGCTTAGGGATGGGACAAGAGGCCATGGGCAGAAATTGAAATGCAGGAAATTTTGCTTAAACGAAAGAGAAGGTGTTTTGTTGGTTTTTGTTGGTTGTTTTGTTGTTGTTTGTTTTTTTTTACTGTGGGTGTGGTTAAACAGGTTGACCAGAGACCATGAGGAGCCTCCATCCTTGGAGATACTCAAAACCCAACTGGACACAGTGCTGGGCAACCTGGTGTAGTTGACCCTGTTTTGAGCAGGGGACTTGGACTTAGATGATCTCCAGAAGTGCCTTCCAACCACAGCAATGATGTGTTTCTAGGAATAGTAACGCTAGAGTTTGAAATAGACAGTGATTTTTTTGTTTTGTTGGTTTTGGGTTTGGTTTTAGAGTTTGTTT